TTGTACTACATGTTTAAATAAAGTCTCATGTTAGGTCTTTAAATTACAATAATAACACCTACATATAGAAAATTTAAGTTATGTATAATAGGATACGAAATAATATTAAATAATACAAATAAATTGGTGTTAAATGTTTTAGTTCAGCGAATTTCTTAGACTGGATGTATAAAAAATAGTAGGTAATCAATTTATTCAAATTATTATCAATTTACAATTTATTATGCATTATATTTTACAAACAGATATATGTGACGTATTTAAACATTGTAGATTTAATAATTGTAGCAGTATTTTTAAATTCAATCGAATTTTTAAGATGAATATAAAATACTGATATCTCTCTCAATAAAAAGTTAAGGATTGGAATGAGAAATTATTATTATTAATTACAATTTAAAATAAAATTTTTAATTTTTATGTCAGCGCAAAATTAGATGTTATTGTACATCAACAATTTAGAGTATTAACCGTATATTGGAGGAACTAAGGTTCACAGACAGAATTTTCACAATTTTAAGATTTTTTAAACACTCAATTATGATTAAAATGTAGTATAATATAAAATGTAACATGATAAAGAGATCTATCTCCTTCCTAATACACTCTTTCCTTGTCTTTGTTCTTTCGATTGTCTGTCAGGACTTTATGTTCTCTTTTCTGACATTATACATGGAGAAGTCGCCGGAATCACATGTAATAATTGCAGACTTGCTCACTTTTTAAATATGAACGTTAATCACGCTTTTTCTTCGTATGTTGGAATATTTACGATTAAAGTACAAATTATTTATACTAATTTTTACACGTAGATTAGAATCTTTTCAATTTATTGTACATATAATGTGACACTTTACAGATATTATTAGTACATATTGCTCTTATATGGAATTTTAACTTTTTTAATTTGACTGTCATATGAACTTCCAATTTGTCTGACGATTCCAACACATCTACAGTTTTTAACAAAATGAAGACTGCGTTATTTTATGTTAAATTTTATAAATTTTGTATACATAGGGACCACGTTAAATTTTATAGATTTGGTATACATAGATTTTTGTGAACATTGATAATGACCCGATCGGTGTCGAAACGTCTGATATTGTTGATATTATTATTTTATTTTTATTTTGTATTGTCTTTATTCAATTTGTAATGTTTATTAATTTAAATTAAAGTGTGTTTGTTATAAGTCAACATTTGGCTCTTGGCCCTTCTTTTATTTTGTATATGATAGAGAGAATTTTTCTCTATATTTTTATACTAGAAATGAGTCTGTACTGTATTTTGTTTTTTTGTAGTAAGTAAAATACGAATTTGTTGCATTCAGCATTGTGTAATCAACTTCTCCTTATAGTTTAAATAATAAATTGTTAATACATATTATAATATATATCACGATATGAGTTGTCTCTCGAATAAACTGATACGTTTTTAATTAATAAAAAAAGAAACGTAATAGAAATAGAGAACAAAATGCAACTGTATATTCCTTGATAAACATTGTACCTTTTGAATGTAAATTAAAGAATAAATAATAAATAAAAATTAATATAAAAAATAAAATTATTTAATTATTAAATATAAACACGTTTAGATAATGTTATTATACTGCTGAAAAAAATTAACTTAATCTGTTTTAATCTCACTTTTAGATATACATATTTGATACCTATATTGATTTCAAAATTTTGTGATATTATTATTATAAAAAGACGCAATATTATAAACAAGAAGACCGATAAAAAATAAAGCAATAAATTTATAATTTTTGATAAAAATATGTGACAATTACTCAATTTAATTAAATTTATTTTTAATTCTGACAACGGCCAACTTGAACAATTATACTTCGATCTATACAATTATCTATTCACTTTTATTATATGTATATCTACTTAATCGTAATTTATACGGGATCTACAATAAAAATCATAGCAGTAGTTGAGTCTTAAATCGTAGAAAATTGACCAATCATAGTCGATTATTCTTCTCATATTCGATTATTGTTGGTTACTTTTCTATGACTAAAAGGTATCTCTCTATAGGAACATCAAACGTCGAGCGTCAAACATTGTGGGCTTGCTATTCATCAATTTTTATCACGTGATCTGTTTTTAACGAATAGTAAGCTCACAATGCTCGACACTCGACACTTGAAGCTCCTATGTAATGGCGATGTGGAAGTTACAAATAACAGAATGTTGTTTAACTCAAGAGATTAGGTTGCCATTGGTCTTTTGATGTCTAACAGTGTATATACAAAAAAATTGTTAAAATACAAGATTTAATAATAAATAATTCTTACACTATATATATCAAAAGTGCAAAACTTGTGTTCACACACACATACAGCACATTTGATACTCCATAGCTCTTATCCATTATTGGACATCTTTTTGTTCATCACATTATAAGCTGCATTGTACACTGTTAAATCTATAGTGTTAAATTTAACTTAATGTAAGTCGCCACTCCTGCTAAAAATTATATTATAATTTATAATACTTTATACTAAAATAATAATTATATATTTGACATTATATACAGTGTCAAATTTAATTGACTCACATTAGGTTAAATTTGACACTGTAGATTTAAAAGTGTATGTGAAGACTAATTCATTTCACCAAAATTCATCGACATTTTTCATGTAATTAATGCGGAATTTTTTGGACCAGACTCGAATGTGTGTTCAGACCACAGAAATGTATTTATAAACGAACGATTCGAGTTATATTTATATGCAATATCATTGCGATTAAAATGTCAAGATATATCATAGACATTATATTATCGATTTACTATTCCTATATCAAGTTTTTTGAATATTTATTTTTGTCGCGAGAGAATACGAAGGGCTACAGGACGGACACTGTCTGTGTGCGAATTGTCACTGGCTGAGTGGTTCATAAATTCGCAAATAGCTGCTAACAATTCATGCCATTCAATGCGGCGACGCACTGTACCGGTAATCATTTCAAATGCACTGGCTGTATCGCTCGGTTGCATCGCTCGGTTGTGTTCGAGCAAACATTCCGGCTAAACGATCGTCACACCAAATTCGACAATGACGTTCCGATCAGCGGCAACGATAAAAATGTTGGCGTTTGTACTACGCTCAGAATGCTTCAATGGCAATGTTCGCTCGATACGCGTGTTATTTGAATATTAAAAATATTACTAACAAGGTGTGATCAAATTGGAATTGATGAAATACTTATCGTGCTTTATTGATTGATATATTTTTCGCGTTTTTCAAACGACAGCAAACATTGGAAGGGACATATTGTTCTACGAGTCTCGAAACGGATGAAAGGTGACTCATACCGACAAAGCACAAAGTTGGCTCGAATAGCCGTAGTATATGGTTTCTGTCGTTACTGTTACAACTGCCGTAATACCTCTTACAGCAGCAGCCGTCGTTCTCGCAGCACATTAAATAACTTCGTGTCTCGAATATCGAAATAGAGCTATCGGGAACAAGCAGACAGAACGATCGTTTCGATCGCATATGTTGTGTATAGAAAGAAATCACAGTTTACACTATAGATCGTCGTTAGCGATATCTGTTTTTTTACAACTTCTGGTGATAAATCGAAATATATGTAACTTACAATTTTCTTCGAAAAATATTGCACGTAGGTAATTCTTAAATTCTTTATTTTTCGTTCTTTAAATTTTCGTTATTATAAGATTCTGTACTCATATAATAAGTATAGAATTTTACCATTATATACATAACGTTAATAATTTCGTCTCAGAAATAAGGAGGAAACATGGTAAATTAAATGGTCGTGGACCTTTTTACGATGGTATAATATTTTAGAACTTTTACTTGCTCGCGCGTGCGCTTCTGCCTATTTTCATTTCATTATCAAGCCGAAATGAGTAGCGCCGTTTCATTATTAAACCGAATTCTCGCTGATTGTGAAAATACAGAGGGTGGTTAATAAGTCCGAAAGATCTCATTTCCGTGAATTAATTTTGAACCGGCGTGCGCCGCTTATTCCTGTAAAACTTTGGCTCTTTACGCGAATAATGTGCAAAAGAAAAACACGCCAGCTCATTCATCGCTTAATTAACGCTCTTTTTATTTTGCGACATAGCTTACCGTTGCCTTTAATCTCGAGGGATAATATCTCGAGGGTCGACTTTTAAAGTGTGTATTTAAGCACGGTACGTTCCGAATTATATCATTTTGCAATTCAGCGTTGCGATTGACCGCCGTACTATATCTTGAACGTACTTTTCCTCAGTTTTCTAGTATTACGAATGGAAATTTGATTCGACTCGTGACTATACGTGGCTGCAAGAGCTATGGATGGGATAACTGAAAAGTTACTCGGTACTGACCGCAAGATGAGGAGCGACGGGTTGCAATCGGATAGTTGGCGATTTACTGTAATAATTACCAAAATTACTACACCGCATAATGACGGTAATTATCGCCGTAATTCGTGGTAATTGCCACAGCAATTACTGGGCTGAAATTCTGAAGATCAGTGGAAAGGCCGGCAGGTGGTTGCGTTGGTGACGATCGTCTTTCCTCCCTTTCTGCCTGGGTTTCATCCCGCATCCGCCTATTGATTTTGATGGGAGAAAATGAACGAGATATTATCGTTCTTATTCTCAAGGCCCAGCTCCAATAGATATGTTGTTCCTATATACCTTCAAGGCTGGTTTTGCACTTTTATGCAATTCCGGAGAAGTTTAACGAATGATTTGCAATATTAACTTAAAGATTCTCTATTCAGAGACTGATCATAAGAGTATGTCGCTTATATTCTGCAAAATTCTGTGAAAGAGAGAGAAAAAGACATATGCTCTATATTTTGCTCTGGCTATTGCAATTAAATATAATTACCGAAAAATGTTGAACCATTTAAAGGTGATCTTCTCATGGCCAGTCTCTGATTAAAGGGTGCAGTTTATTATTAAAATTCTTTATATGTAATGCTTTACAATTTTAACAATTATTATTTTATTGCAGATCTGAGCCACGAAGAGAAAATACTTTCGGCGTATGGTGAGTTCATTCATTACTTTATAAATTTGTGTATAAGATGGTGAAAAATCAGAACTGTCGTGATCGTTGATTACCATTCAACTTTAATGCGTTTCTCATGTTTTCAAATCAGACGGATAACCGATAGGGAATGACTCTCTTGACAACTGCGACAGACCTTGAGGTAGAAATTGCGATATTCAGATGCGACGCGTCCTTCGCGTCTCTCGGGAATCGAAATCCGCCGTTTCTTTTCTCTCCCTAATGACTCGCGAAAAATTTCAATGCGTCTCAACGGCTCGCCTTTTCATATCGAATAATAAATGACGGCCGCCGCCGTCGGAAGGCTAGGTCGACACGACGCCCAGCTGTCGAGACGCCACCGAACTAGGATGCTAGGTGAGCTATCTAAATGCGTTGGTCGCTTCTGGCAACCGGAATGATTTTGTATTCATCTTTTGAAAAATACCGCTTTTCAAGTACGAGGCCACATGATGCCCCGGCTAACGCGACCAGATAGTCTGAGGACATGCGTCAAAGTTGCAGAGGAAATTTATCACGGGAATGACGTATTCTTTTCTTCACTCACAACCTATTTAGTTTCCTTGGTTGTGCTATGACAAATGGATGAGCTTAAACGAAAATAACATCTAGTTCGCTCGATATAATTTATAATTTATACTTAACAGTCGCGATGTCATAGAAATTGTAACATTTTGTTGAAATATTCCTTTCAATTTACAAAATTTATATATCTACATTATACATACAGTTGAATTAATAATGGGTTACTCGAGCCAAGTTAGATATTTATTGCTGAAATTTATATGATGATGGATAAGCAATGCTTGATAAACAATGAAATAAATATTTCATCTTTTATAAGGTTATTTTTGATATTAAATAGAAACAAATTATTTTGAATAGTTCATAATACGAATTTTTATATTTCAAACTGCCGTTCGATATTTGTATTATGTACCATGCAAAATGACTTGTCAAATATGAAAATGATTTGTTAAAGATCGAGACACATATATATTTCATTGTCATTATAAACATCATATTTTTAATAATGAATCTTTAGTTCGGCTTAATGCTCATTATTATTTTAATTTGATTTTTAATTTAATTGAGTCTCTTATTACCTTATTTTTCTTTTATATATATATATTAAATTATAAAATTAAATTATTACGCAAAATTAACAAGAATAAGGAAACCGTAATAATTTACGATTTACTAAGCCATCTACGGTCAAAGCTAGATTACCATGCTTATTATAATGTGTGAATTTATATACCGCGTATGTAGTCACCAATCACGTGCCGAAAATTTTTTCAGACTTACAACGCAACACTTAAACAACTACCGCAGTAATATCACTTTTTTAGTTAAATTGCTACCGCATATCTAACAATTATTTGATGCTTCTATATAGCATCTTATTAGATCTTTAATAATATGTTGGAAGACATATATTAAAATTTAACAATTTAAATGTTAAAGTAATGATGAATCTAAAATCTGTGAAAAGTATGATTGCGAAGAATATACACGAGTTGGCGTTTCGTCCCGGTTTCCACTACTGGACTCATCAGTAAGGTATTGTAATGGAAACCTACCTTAGACGCCTGTTTTAGTTATTAAATCAAGATTCTATATATACAGATATGCGCGTATTTCAGCACTTGCGAGAAACATTGCGAACATCTATAGACCTCTAATGGCGAGTCGACGTAATAATATTCTTCACAATCATTTATCTAAAGTAGTAATAACGTCTATTT